GATGGATGGATGGATCTCTTTGGTTTCCAGCCAGCAACCCTTGGCTGAACACCACTGGAAAACCTGCTGAACTTCCAGCCTGTCTGCTGACTCCCCCCCACCAGAGATGAGGCCCACCACTGCTGTGTCATCCTCAAACTTAACAATCATGTTTGCGTGGTGGTTGGGGACACAGTTATGGGTGTAAATCATCAACAGGAAGGGACTCAGCACACACTCGTGAGGGGGGTCCAACGTTTACTTACTGTGATTGATCAGTCAGATAGACAGTATCCCAGGCACCGATAATGGCTGGAAAGCACAAGTCTATGAGCTGTTTGGCAGATGTTATTAACTGACCTAGCTCTCTTAATTGTTGTTGCTAGAATTTCTAAAAGTAGAACGGCAGGCAGATCTTTTAGTTATCAGGCTCCTCTCCTGTGGAACCAACTACCAGTTTTAGTCCGTGAGGCAGACACCCTGTCTACTTTTAAGGCTAGGCTTAAAACTTTCCTTTTTGATAAAGCTTCTAGTTAGAGTGGCTCAGGTTATCCTGAGCTATCTCTATAGTTATGCTGCTATAGGCTTAGACTGCTGGAGGACATAGGGACCCCTTTTTCATCATTCTGCTTCATTCTATCTCTATTCTCCCACTCTGCAGAATCTATTAGTTCAATCTCTAACGTTCTGCTCTCTCTGCTTTTCCTCATAGTAGCTTCATCTGGTCTGTTCCTGTTTGGCTGTGACTCCATCCTGGAGAGAAATATCAGCTGTGCTGCTGCCATCAACACCTTTGTTTATAGATGTTGGAGCTTGGCCTGTTTTCCAGTGTAGTCCTGTTTCTCTAACTGGATGTGCTCTCTTCATCCTCTGACATGGGAGCTGGTTCGGAGCTCGTCTGCCTGCCTGTGTGTTTCCTGGACCATGTCGCCTTTTACAGCTGCTTTTTGTATCTTTTTTTCTAAAAAACAAAAAAACAAAACAAACAAAAAAAATTTTTTAAAACATCTATTGGACTCTGTTTCCAAGTTTGAAGAAGTTTCGTTTCTCATCCAGCTTTTTCAGTTAGAAATGTCAGAAATAGCATCAAATTTGAGGTTTTATAGAGTGGTCTAAACCAAACCAGAGTCTGAACCAAAACAAGGCTTTGTTTTGGTTATGCAAATTAAACCAGACAAACGGGTGCACCCCTTTGGAATGGGGGTTGTTATACCCGATACCTGCCTATGTCTCTAGAAGGGGGTCGTTAAAGGGAATTGTTGGCCTGGCTGATCAGGAGAGGTCTACTGTTGCCCTTTTTGAATTGAATGACCAAGACCTGAATGACTGAGAATCTTCTCCAGCTCAAAGCATTGTATTATTAAATAGGTTAGTGCCACAGGTCTGTAGTCCCTGATTCTGTTTATTCATGTATGATAGTGTATGAATAGAGAGGTATGATGGTGAGTGTTTCAACACAATGTGGAACAGTTGCCTCCTTCTGTGAGGTAATCAGAATCCTTGTCAGGACTCCTGGAAGTTGGCTCCATCAGGTACCGCTACCTTTTGGAGTTTACAGTTTTCAAAACCCTTCTGACATGATTTTTTTGTAGCACACACAGTTGATTGTAATCATAATTAGGCCAAGAAGATTGGGTAGGCAGAATGGAATCTATATACCTCTATGTATGTGAAAAATGTATTTAGTTCAGCTGTGAGTGAGGCTTCAGCATTGCCTCAGCCTCTCTGTCTTTATAATTTGTCAGTTGTTGTAGACTCTACCGAACTTGTTTGGAGTCGCTGACGGCCAACTGGATCTTTATGTTTGTCTTGTAATCCCTTTTTGCTGCTCTAATAGCCCTCCTTAAATTCTCTCTGGCCTGATCGCCACGATCACCAGTTATAAGTTACGGGTTGTTTTGCTGTCATCCAAGGTGTACAGTTATTAAAATTCTGGTCTGTTTTTATCCACGGTCACATTGTCAATATTAAACTGCAGCGGTTCTAGAAACATTTTTCTCCAGCTGAATGGTGACAAAGGGATTTTTTAGAAGTGGTGATATTAGTATGGTGCCTGACCGGTGGCAGTGCCAGAACATGTTCATAGGGGGGGGATCAGGCAGGGGCCAATGTACACTGAAGGTTTGCAGGAAGCTAATAGGCACCAAAAACATCATGTGTTTCAGCTGTACTGATTAAAATCAACCAGCAGGAAAATGAACGTCCACAACATGGAGATTTTCCCAATAAATCAATAAAGAGAGACCAGATTTTCATTAGTTTTTTAGTTCCTTAATAATAAGCACATATTTAGACTATTAGATCCACTCGCAGTGCTATTTAGATTGATTTATGGTTCTACATGATATATATGCATTAAATGGATTGAGCAATGTTATTTATCTTTAGAGAAGACTTCTAGGTGACTGCAGAGACAAACTCTCTGTTGGGATCCAGAGGTCTGCCCTCCAGAGGGCGATGTGGATCCCTTTCTGGGGGTTCTGCTGTCGGTTGGGATCCAGAGGTTTGCCCACCAGAGGGCGCCGTGGATCTTCTCCTGAGAGCTGGCGCTCATCAGAGACAGCTGATCCCCATCTGCTGATTAAAGAGCTCTCCCTATATAAGCTGAGTGAGAGCTCCCCTCTGAGCCGGGTTGTTGTCCTTGCCATGTAAGCAAACCTGAGCCACTCTGCCTGTTAACCCTGCCTGTCTGAACCTGCAAACCTGTGAGTTTGTTCCTGTAAACCTGTACCTGAACCTAACCTGCTCTGTCTTCTCTGCCTCCCAGGAGGGAGACCTGTGTTCACCAATAAAATATTGGACTTTCCCCTGCCTGTCTGTTCTGTGAGTTCTGCATCTGGGCTAGAAATCCTGCTAAATCATGACACTCTCCCCTAAAAAGACCTAAAAACTGATTCTTAAAAAAACAAAACATTAATTTCTCTTTATTTCTAATAAATTTTTAATAAGAATAACGTAAAATCAAGGGCCCAATGTAAAAAAAAACTGAAGTTCCCCTTAAAGTCCCTGGTTCATGTTCCCGTTCCTGGTGGCCAGTGGACTGAGAGGGTTTACTAGTCAGGTCCCGGCTCTTCCCTGCGGAGCCCTCAGGGTTTTGGATTGGATCAAGATGGAGACCAGCTAACGCTGCAGCTCGTTTGGCAGACCATCGGCTGGATCCTGCCTTCCTAAGAGAGGATGGACTGAACTGTTAAACCAGGTAAGTGACTCACTGATAATCATCTCCTGTCAGATGATCATGGTCACTTACTTGTGTTTCTCCCTCCAGAGGTTCAGTGATTGGGCGGTGCCCCGCCCCCCTCCTGCAGCCACTGCAGTCAGCTTATCCTCAGCAGCCCGGGTTCTGCTCTGCTTTATTACTTTTCTGTCATTAAACGTTTTGAAATTCCCCACTTTCTGACTCGCCTGAATACTGGGTCCATCTGTCTCGGTCATAACACATATGTTTGCTCAGTATCAACCTATTACAGAGTGTGTATATGAACTATGTAGTCTTATAGAACCTTCCAGAGTGGTAATAATCCCCCAGAATGTAGCTATTAAAAAGCGGGGGAGAGGACAGTCTTCGCATATTTACATCCCGAAATAGTCAGAGTGTAAAAAGGTTACTCACATACAACTTAATTACTGTCTTTATTCATAAAACATAAAGTCTAACTTTTGGTAATGTCAACCCATAAATATGCAAGTACAGCAACATTCTGTGTCAGGTAATACGTACTTCACACCGCCTTGGTGGTACCGCTTTCATTAAATCATAGATAATCTAAAATTTGAAATATTTCAGCATTTAATCTTAAAATTGTCCTCTTGTCTTTTTCTATAAGATCTTTGCATTTACTTGACGCTGTTTCTTCTGAAGTTAAGGTCTTAGGGATGCATTAGGATAGTTAGTTAAAGTCAACATATGTGTAGAATGTATGATATGATATACATTCCTATGGGTCACGTTGAAACGATGAATGCAGGAGGAGGCGGCAATAGGCTCCACATAGCATACATAAAGGGTAGACCCTACATCCACTGCTTTCTCCTGTGGGTGCTGACGGGACTTGGTGGTGCCATCTAGGGGAGGTCAACAGCTCCACTCAATGTAACGTGTTGAACGGGCACAGCATCAATTTTTATTAACTTTAACTCACTGAATATTGAACTAATTTTCACATTTTTTTGTTTTGTTTTTTTTTTTTGCTGAAAACAAACAAATGGTTCATTGTATTAGAATATTCTTAGTTTTGTTAAATATGTATGTATATATTTTTATTACTATGTACAGAAACACGTTTGTAGAGGTATACACAATAATATATACACATATCTCTTAACACACACACACCCACACATATGTATAGTATATAATGTGTGTCTGTGGGGCTGACAACATGGCCGCTATGAAACCCCAGTCCAGTAGGTGGCGCCATATTCATGCAATGGCTGATTTTCTACTGATCAGAAGAGGAAGTATGCAGCGGAGCTTGTTTTGAAGGTTGAAAACTGGACAGGTTAGCTAACAGAGTTATGATCCTCAGACCTCAAAGTTCTGTCAGCTTCATCTGAACTTCCATCCACATCTTCAGGTAGGTCACAGTTCACTGCGGATAGAAGCGGCTTTAACTGACTGAATAAAGTGTCTTCAAGAGAAATGAGCGACTGCAGCTCGTTGCTACAGGCTGCGGGGACTCAACATGTGAGGTTTGAGTCACTGAGGCTCGGTGTCCTGCGGAGCTCAGCAGCCCGGCGGCCTTTATTATCAGGTGTTTCACATCATCTGGTAGCTCAGATCATCTGGTGTCATCGGGACTAGGACTTAGTTCATCATCAAATTTGATTGCATGGACTCATTGACTCTTCAGCAATCCCTCACACTAAGCATGCTTGCAGCAACAGTGGAGAGGAAAAACTCCCTTTGAACAGGAAGAAACCTCCAGTAGAACCAGGCTCAGTGTGAGCGGCCATCTGCTGAGGCCCACTGGGGTTCAAGGAGACAGAAGCAGAGATACAAAAAGCAGCTGTAAAAGGCGCCCCGTCCAGGAAACACACAGCCAGGCAGACGAGCTCCAAGGCAGCTCCCATGTCAGAGGATGAAGAGAGCACATCCAGTTAGTCACAGTCAGAGAAACAGGACTACACTGGAAAACAGGCCAAGCTCCAACATCTAGAAACAAAGCTGTTGATGGCAGCAGCACAGCTGATATTTCTCTCCAGGATGGAGTCACAGCCAAACAGGAACAGACCAGATGAAGCTACTATGAGAAAAAGCAGAGAGAGCAGAACGTTAGAGATTGAACTAACAGATGCTGCAGAGTGGGGGAATGGAGAGAGAATGAAGCAGAATGATGAAATGGGGGTCCCTATGTCCTCCAAAAGTCTAAGCCTATAGCAGCATAACTATAGAGATAGCTCAGGATAACCTGAGCCACTCTAACTATAAGCTTTATCAAAAGGGAAAGTTTTAAGCTTAGCCTTAAAAGTAGACAGGGTGTCTGCCTCACGGACTAAATTTCTGATGTTAATACTATTACATTTTAAAGATCATTCTTAAAACTTTTTTACTTTATTTATTTTGTACTTATTAAGGGCGTTTTGCTTTGTTTCTCTTTCCATCATGTTTATTTTCTGTAGAGGAGTATGGAGACCTTGTGAGTTCTAAAGAGCTGTACGGATAAAAGTTGACTGGTTAAAGGTTCAGATTTAGTCTAATGCTGTTGCTTGATTATTATACCTTTGATAGAAATATAATAATGAATTTATAAACTGCAGTAAAGTTGTAGCCTCTTAACCGATGAGGTTTAACTGGTTGAATTTGGTGCTGTTAGCGTTCCTTCATTGAGTTTTACTGATATAATGAACTTGTCTACTTCGCAGTAATGTCTGCTTTGACCAGCTATGCGGTGCGCATGGCGAGGCTGAGCTCCAGGATCTTTGGAGAAGTCGTACGTCCGACTGACACCAAATCAATGAAGGTGGTCCAGCTGTTCCAGGAGCCGCCACTGGCCAGAAGGAAGGAGGTGTACGAATGGTATCCTCATCACAAGGTTTACTACGCCATGACCCAGAAGCTCAGGTTCATGGGATTGTTCAGGTATTGCTCAGCATCATCCCTTCTTTACTTTAGTATATGTTGATGGATCTAATGATTTTAGATTGTTAGAAAATGTCCTACTACTGGAAAATTAACCAGAATTGATCACCTAGGATGGAGGTAGCATTCCCTATAAACACTAATCAGTTCTCTCCATCATCAGGTTCTTGTCCTTTCATACCTAGAGCTGCTCGGCGCCCAGTCCCCACTGGTGGCGTTCCAATCTGGCAACGCTGCTCAAGCGGTCTATTTATGCCGCTTCTATGAGAATCACATCTTTTCTGGGGGTTCCATGTATCATTCCCTTGATTTGCTTTTCTTCATATTCCCTTTGACGAACTAAATTAGTTGAAAGTAGAAATCAATCATCCTCAACAGTGTAGGCGATTCTGCATTGTAGGATGATCGTGATTAAAATCAGTTAGGTGTTTCTATAAAGATCAGAGGACATGGAATGATTTTGGACAAAAAGAACTCCAGCTGTTTTGCTTTTAGAAATTGGACGGTTCTGGCTAACAAAGTTCATGTAATGTTGGTGATTGACCAAGCTGAAAGAGGCTAATCTGTTAGCTGCTCTGTACAGCTAGCCAAGGCGCTACCCAGGTCTGATCTTTATACTTTTACTTAGTTCACCACAAATCTGATCAAACTTAAATTGTTAGCCACACTGAAGCTTCTTTCCCACTGTGATTAGCGGGTTTTCAAAGATGGGTCGACTCGCTAACACTCGGCATTTGGCTCCCTTCTCTGGGTCTGACCCGCTGCTTGGTCCCCCCACTGCTGCATGTGTTATGACAATGCTGGGTTAGCGTTGATGATGTCACCAGTGTGACAGAAATCAGAAGAGATTCCAAAAAGGTTAAAAAACAATCCACTGGACTTTGTTTCAAAGTTTGAAGTCGTTTCTCTTCCATCCAGGAAGATTTTTTTCAATTCAAAATGTCAGAAATAGCGTTTAGTTCCAGGTTTTATTCCAGTAGCCCAACAAAGCCTGGTTTTAGTTTAGAAAACAAGGAAATTAAAATAGATGAACGGGTCCACCCCTCTGGAATGCGGGTCATTTGGCTTCTTTGTTAGCCTGCAATGCCCCATACCTGTCTATGTCTCTGAAAATGGGCTCATTAAAAGGAATTGTTGGCCTGTCTGAATAGGTGAGGTCTTCTGCTCTCCTATAAAGGGGTTGGAGCTGCGATGATAGCGGGAAGGAATCAACTGAATTGTTACAATTAAGGTTTTTGAAAGCAGAAATCTGACATTTGAATTGAAAAAGCTTCCTGGATCGGAAGTAGGGCTGCAACAACGAATCGATAAAATCGACTTTTAAAAGCGTTGGCAACAAATTTCATCATCGATTAGTTGTGTCGCACGATTAATGCGTCATCCGCCGCCGTCGTCATCATCACTGCCACTTGACTGAAACGGGGGAAGAAAAAAAAATACGGCAGAGAGCCAGCGCTGTGGGTGCAGTGTTTCCAACTCAGCGACTTTGTCGCTATATTTAGTGACTTTTCAGACCCCTCCAGCGACTATTTTTCAAAAAAGCGACTAGCGACAAATCTGGCGACCTTTTTACGGTGTCACTGGCGGCTTTTGGAGACTCTTAGTGAAAGCATGTATCGTTCCTACTCTGCCGTGGGGCGCCTCCCCCACCCCAACCGCGTTTTCCCGCAGGAGTCCCTCTCAGCGCTGCAGTCAGAGCTGCAGGATGTTTCAGCGTCCAGACTGCAAATGAAGCGCGCATGCGCCGGGATTGACGGCGCAAATTGATCACAATAATTAAAATAGCCTGCGCTTTGTAAAGCGAAAAAAGTCGTAACATGCAACTTTTGTAAAAACAAATGAACATGGCACAGAAGCACCACTGTAATGATGCAGCACCTGAAAAGAAAACATGTTGGAGCCTTCGATGGCAGTGAAGAGAGCTGATCAGCAGGATGAGCGGCCATGTTTGTTTGGTTTTAAAGTGGGGAAACGTTACGTTAGTTTCTCAGGTAGCTCATCTGATGCTTTCCTTACCGTGTTAGTAGGTTACAGACAGTGATAAGGTTGGCTACTTATTTTACTTTTAATTTAATTTGAATTAGCTTAAGCAGCGTTTACATTTACTTTATAAATAAATGAACTTGCAAATTATGAGGGCAAGGCTTTTAAAGTTTAAATCTTCTGGCAAAGATTAAGTAAAGAAGATCCTGCAATTTATGGAAGTAAAGCAGAATAAAATCCAGCAAGATCAGTAATATGTCAATTAATTATCTGCCACATTCCCATGTAAATATCTGTCTTTGGAGGATGTGTTTTTTAGCACCCCTAGTTCTCTCATTTTTATTCCAAATACAATTTATAATTTGAATCACAGGGCTATTTTTATCTCTATGGTTCGGTATTTTCTCAAGTAGCAACTTTAACTGCTATACTTTTCTCTCTTAAAAGGCAGAACTCTTCTAGTCTAAAAAACTCATTTGTTGAAATGGGGGGGCCTATTTTTTGAACCCCTTAGGGGCTTTAAAAAACAAAAATGTCTTTTTTTGCGCTTAATGAAACAAAGTAGCCTATATTTTGTGGATGTACAGCTACATTTCTCATGTAAGTTTGCATAGTTTTAACACAAACATTTATTTTTCATATTGCACCAGTACAGTTAATGAGCAACCTGTACTTGTGTGCTTGTTTGTTCTGTCTAAAATGTTTATTTTGGAATAAAGAGGTTAATATAAAAAATATTTTTGTCCGATTCATCGATTAATCGAAAAAATAATCGGCCGATTCATCGATTTTTAAAATAATCGTTAGTTGCAGCCCTAATCGGAAGAGAAAAGTCTTCAAACTTATTTAAGTTTGAAGTTTTGTTTTTTATTTAACTTTTTTGGAATGACTTTGACCTGGATGACTGAGAATCTCCATCAGCATAAAAAATGGAGAGCAACGTGGAAAGAGCCAGGGTGTAGTCAGTGTTTTTAATGTTTCACGCTTTTGTCTGTCCTAATTCTTCTCACTAGCGCTGCTCCGTGTTTACAGAATCTAAAGCCGGGCTCACACCGTATGAGTTTTAGTCCTTCTAGGGCCAAGTTTCAGCCTCATCCTGCATTGTGGAGCATACAGGAGGTAACGAGGGGTGATCAACCAGACATCGGGGACCTGGAGTCAACAAGTCATCTCTATGTCATGTATTTGTTCTGCTGCTGAACCAGGTGAGTCTAATCTGCACAGCTTAGTTCACTCTACAGACCTGGTTCAGTGGCTGGGCAGAACAAATACATGACATGGAAATGACTTGTTGATTCCAGGTCCCACATCTCTGTGATCAGCCTCTCAGGACTAACTCCTAACTAACTCTTCTAGATTGACGAGTCTGACGTGATTTTTGGACGTAGACTATGAGCAGTTAGATTGAATACGAGCGTGGGAACGTACAGCGGAAGAACATACTTGGTGAGCTGTGAACTTTTAAAGCCGACAGTTTCGTCGTACAGTTTGAAGCGATTGAAAGTATGGGACAGCGTGTCCTAAGGAAAGTTATTTCTGCTTGTTAGATCAGAAGCAACTGTTGGGTGTTGACATCCGAACGTTACCTTTAATGGTGTCCCGTAATGTAGCGCGTCGTCTCGGCTCTGGTGTTCCCACAGCATGCTGATCAGAGCAGAGGAGATTTTAACGCGGGTCTCTTGCCGAGTCGTTTGACCCCGGTAGACATGCTGTTCAGACTGCCACTAAAATTGTTCCCGGGTTTAAAGCGTTTTTTAGCCAGTGGTCCTCAGAAATGCATTATTATAGCTGTCCGGACCGACCACCATGTTTTATGCCATCGTGGAAACATTCAGCCGATCTAACAGGGTCATTGTCACCAGTAGGTCGAAGGACCTGAAACACTTGGTGTCATCACTTATTGCTCCTTTAAAACAGGAACTGGAAGAAAAAAAAAATTCTTTCAAAAACTTGAAAAATGTGACACAAAAATACAGAGCAGTTTCTGGAACAGTTTCTTCACTGGAAAAATGATCTAGAAATAAGTACAGACTTCCTAAATAAAATGTTTTTAGCCTTAATTTGAGTAGTTAAATGAGATAGTTAGCCAATAGAATGAGTATTTTTACTCTAAAAATAAGATTTTTCTTATTTTAAATGTAAATTGTCTTGTTCCATCGACAAAATGTCTTCCTCGATCAAGAACTAATACACTTATTTTAAGAAAAAATGACTTATCTAGATTTAGATTTTTTCCAGTGTGCATTAGGATTCAGGAAATCATGAAATATTCTAGTTGGTTTGGGGGGGAAAGCTAAAACCTGTTTTCATTGCAGAACTGTTGCTGATGCTTTCGACCCAGCAGCTGGATTGGAGCTCAGGGTTAAAACTGAGTAGATTTTACTGCCGACCTGCTGGATTTAAGCAAAAATATGAATAAAAAGTGGTCATTGGTTCAGCAACACTGATGTGTCCTCCTCTAACAGTTAAACTCTGTGTCGGTGCTCGTGTTATTTCTAGAATGTCATGTGACTGATACAGGAGATGAAATGAGAACAAATAATCCAGGAAATCACATTGTAGGATTTTTAAAGTATTGGTTGATTTTTTTTTTTTTTTTTTCCACACCAAGCTGCTTGCCTGTTGTAGATTCACTCCTCCCAGCCTGGTGCAGCTCTTTGCTGTTTGTAGTGGGACTGTTTGAGGCTGAGGACGGGTGTCTGTTCTACGGGTTCAAACAGGTGCCAATAATACAGGTAACCAGTGGAGGACAGAAGAAGTGAGAGCCAGACATCTTGCTGGTTTGTCACCAAATACTTATTTTCCACCATAATTTAGAAATAAATTCTTTAAAAATCCCACAATGTGATTCCCTGGATTTTGTTTCTCCGCTTCCGTAGAAATGCTTTATAATCCAGAATTCCTCAAATGGATTTTAGTTTCATTTGGTAAAAATCACTAACCTTTAGCTATCCGATTATTAATCTTAGAAATAATGGAGCGATTAATAGATCAAAGGAATGATTAGTTGCAGGAGAGTTGATTAAATGGGTTTATTGTTTTCTTTTCAGAGATGAGCATGAGGACTTCAAAGAGGAGATGCGGCGCCTGAGGAAGCTTAGAGGAAAAGGGACACCGAAGAAAGGAGAAGGAAAGAGGGCGGGAAAGAAAAAATAAACTGTCCTGAAGCTTCTGGCAGGAAACGAGCCTTTTTTCTCTCTAAGTTCTCCTCCTTCCTCCCACAGTCCAAACTCCACCGCTAGCTTGATTGGCTTCTCTAGTTTATCCTTGGGGGGGGGGTGTCTCTGTGTCACCCGTCCAGGGTGTAACCCCGCCCCTCGCCCACAGACTGCTGGGACCCGCCCCACCCTGATGGGGGGGGATGTTTTTTCCCTTTTTGAATTTAAAGTCTTCACTTATGGATTTAATGATAAATAGAAATAAATGAGCTTTGACACGTTTTATGCAGACTGTTCAAAGATTCCTGGAAAAAAAGCTAAAAATTCAAGGCGTGTGACGTCGCCCGGTCAGCGGAGCAGGACCCCACCCTGGAGCCCAGCCTGGTGGTCGTGCTCCTCCTCTAAAGGAGTGACGCCATCCCCCGGTGGGCCCACCACCTGCAGGAGGAACCATGATGGACGGTGTGAGGAGGACAGTCAGAGGAGGAGGTGCTTATTTAAAAATAAATGACTTATTGAAGGAGAACTGCTTCATTATGGATAAAACCACTGAATGAAACATAAATCTATGATCGGAATAAAACCGCTGCCAATGTTCCGCAGTTTAACAAAGTCTTTGAGAAGAAAAAAATGAAAGCACATTTTCCTGCAGTCTTTCTTCTGTGTCATTAACCCCTTCATTACCAGAGGCGTCATATTTAAAACAATAAAAACCATCAAAATCATTTATTTCATCCAGATCATTTATTTGTGGTTGGACTCGGTGCTGCCCCAACTTGTTGTTACATAACAAAATAAATAGTTTTTCCAGAAGATGCAAAGTTAAATATGACTCTGTTACTATTAGTTATAAAACTAAGAAAATGAATTTTAAGGAAGTTATCATCCAGAATTGTAGAAAAATGTTACTTTAACAGGTTAGAGCAGTAAAGCTTCTGGCCTTAAAAGATTTTCCTGCATTACGTTTACTTTTATACTTTAAGTAGTTTTAAAAATGCTACTTTTACACTTTTACTGGAGTAAAAAGCTTAACCTCTACGAAATTGTTTTTAAAGTAAAAGTCGCTCATATTCAGAATTCAAACTTCTGAAAGTTCTTTAAATCTGAAATGATTCCATCCTGTTCAATAAATGATAAATGTTTTTAATTCAGAGTAATTTTCATGTGAATGTTCTTTACTGGAGGCATCCATGTTTGTCAAAGAACACTACTGCCACCTACTGGTTAGTGACGTCACGGTGCGGTATCGGCTGTTGATCAAGTCCCAGTGCTGTATCTGGTGTTTGTCACAACGCGCTATTATCCAAGTCATCTTGAAAACATTCTTCTTCCAAATGTTGGCTACATATTACGGGTTTTTTCTCTGGCCAGAAGTTCGATGGCAAATCCTCCCTCTTCAAGTTGGCGATCCAACGACCAACCCGTCCGTGGAGGATCAGGAATCAGAAAGGTGGAAAAACTCTTTTTTTCACTTTTACCCGATGTATTCCAGCATCCAGCTGCCATGCACGTGGGCATTGTCAGTTTCACTATAGCTCTGGTGAATTTCAATGGTGAAGTCCTCTGGAAATCTTCAATAATTGTTGTTGATTGCAGATGTGTCTAGTAGTTCCCATTGATTTAGCTTGGAAAGCGGGGAGAATGGCGCTAGGCTAACCGCACCGTGACGTCACTGCTGGAAGATGGCAGGAGGGAGGGGCTACTATATTTGGGCAAAAATGGCCGCTCCCAGACTCGGTGATTGCAATTGCATTTTTTTACTGATTAAAGCTGAATTCATTAAATCACTGCAAACGTATTAGTTTTAGGTATAAATCCATTGATTATTCCTCGCTGACTGGACTTTTCCTTTAAATAGATTTTCAAAGGCCTAATATCAGGACCCTAAAGTGTCTAAAATGAAAAAGGGAGGCAGAACTCTACACCATGAGACTCAAAGCTGTTGTTCAGGAAACAAAAAAAACATTACATTTGGATAGTTTTCAGTAAATGCTGGTTCCACTGCTGTAGCTTTGTTGTTAAATGAATACTGCCTGCTTTTCTCCATTCTTCTCCACATAAGCCTCCCATCATGCATTGCCTGCAGTTATTGCATCCCTAACTTTGTTCGTCTTGCTTGTATTTTCTCCTCATAGAAGCTACAGCAGACCTGCTGAGGGGCGCCATATTGGGGGGAAATGTTAGCAAGGATCTAAGGGCCCATGATTGAGGCGGGGCCTAAAAGAAGAAGAAAAGACACGTCCCAATAGATATTTCAAATATAAACAGAAAATCCAGCAGTAAATTAAATACTTTTTGTTTCCTCCCTCCTTTTTCAGCAGGAAACACTGAAGGAAAGCATGAATAAAAAGTTTGTTTTTTTATAGTGTTTTTACGGCACTAGTGTTTCTTTTCTTTGAAAGTAGGCTGACAGGAAAGCGGGTATGAGAGAGAGAGAGAGACATGCAGGACCGCAGGTCGGACTCGAACCCTCCGTACATGGGTCGTGTGCGCTAACCACTGCACCCCCTGCATGCCGAAGCACTAATAAATTGACCACGTTTTTTATCAACCAGTATATGCAGTTGTAACTAAATGTATATTTAACTTTTATTTTGTTCTGATATTTTTCCTTTGTAGAAATGTTACACTAAAAATGACATTAAATTTGTGGGGGGGGGGGGGTATTAATGTCTTTCATGGGGCCTAAAATTCCTGGCAGTGCCCCTGGACCTGGTGTTTCTGTTTGAGGCTCCATCAGCCATCTTGGAGGAGGATGTCGGTGCAATAACCATTTTATTGAAGTTATCCTTCGGCATCATGACTCAGTTGAACCCTGAAGGAGAACCTCCCACCTGCTTTCTGATTTATTATCTGCTTTCTGCAGCGTAAAAAGTGTGAATTTTTACCACTGAATGTTTTCCTGAACCTTTCTCTTTGTTTTTACCTCTTTGCTCTCAGATGGATATTCACTCTGAGGTCAAAGGTCAGCCAGAGGTTTATTCCTATTAAAGGAGCCGAGAGGAAGGATTCCTGAAACCTCCGTGACACGATGAAGTTAGCTCAGCTTCCATTTAGTCAAATTTGGGGAAAAATGTTTTTAATTATAAACTGGATTTTCTGTCATGTAACTAACTACCTCGGATGATCTCTGTTATCATCCTTACTCCAGTACTGAAAAAAAAACCGTAAAGGGTTGAGAAGCTAAAATCTAATAATCTAAGTCAATTTAATGTTTATACTATGCTAACATAGAATGCTAGATATTCTGGATAAATATCCCTTTAGATTTAAATCTATAAAATCTATTATCAGGGAGTGGCGTTCTAATAGAGCCCTGTCACACCTCGATGATTCATCCAGCGTCTGCCTGACGTCCCAGATTCTCCTAAAACGCTGGAATAAGCTGAACTTTCTATGGATTTTTTCTATTCTGGGCGTAAACATAGAGTCTAGAACATAGAGTCCAGAACGTCTGTCCAACGACAGCCTAACTTCTACATAACGCACAGCAGCATAATGCCCAGCCTTTGTCCCCCAGCCTGGAGCAGCACTTTAATAGGAGGAACATTCAGTGCAGCCCAGGGGGACAGCATCCGAGGCCCCGCTGCCCGTAGTAGAGCCTCCTTTGGGAGGCACTGAGTCCATCACCCATCGCACTGTCTGCGCTGCTGCCTTTGGTTGCAGCCTTCAGGTCATCTGCAGTAGCAGTAGAGACTGAGACATTCAGCTGAAGGAGGGGACGCACCCAATGGATGCCGTAACTCCACGCTGCCTGGACCAGCTGATGAACCTTCAACCATCCTCTCCATGAAGAGCTCTAGTTTGCAGCTAGACGGCTGCAGTCGTCCAACATGAGGACTCTGCTCACTCTTTGTCTAATTTCAGTATGTTAAACTCTTACAAATATGAGTTTTATATTGTGGAATATAAAACCAAAATAATTTACTCTTTGAATATATTCTGATTTATTGAGATGTCTCCATCTGTTTGGCCGCTTGCTTCAACTTTAACTGTCCTTTATGTCCCTTAATCAACAAAGAATTTAATGAAGATCAGAAAATCTATGCAACGAACAGATGTGTTAAAGATTATTGTTTATTAGTAGAAATCTAAATTCTAGTTTTTAAAGGAAAAGTCCGGTCAGCAAGGAATAATCAATGGATCATTAGTTGATCCTAAAAATAATACATTTTCTTTGATTTAATGCAGTAAAAATCAGTAAAAAATCTTAAAAATAATTTTGGTTGATGGTGAAGAGTCTCAGTCATCCAGGTCATAGTCATTCCAAAAACCGTAAATTGAAAACAATCCACTGGACTTTGTTTCCAAGGTTGAAAACGTTTCTCTTCCATCCAGGAAGCTTTTTCTATTAAAAATGTCAGAAATAGTATTGAGTTCCAGGTTTTATACAGCAGCCCAACAAAGCCTAGTTTCTGTTTAGAAAACATGCTAATTAAAACAGACAAACGAGTCCATCCCTTTGGAATAGGGGTCCTTTGGCAGATATCCCAAGTTTCCCAGAAGTTCCGGGAGTCTGCCTGATACAGATAGTTGTTCATTGATGCCCGTGAGTCGGATAAATTATCCCAGATTTTAGACTATGGGAGGTGGTGTTTTTTTAGTGAGAGCGTGCAGGCAATACAATAATTCATGCATCAAGTGCAGATTAGAACTACTGAGATTGCTCTGACAACAACAGAGAGCGGGGGGTGAGGAGGAGGTTGCTGGTGAAACCTGTGCAGTGTATCTGTCCAAAGTGACGCTCTGAGAGCTGATTGGATCAGTTTGATTAGTTTCTCTGGTTACTCTCTGGCAGTAACTCTGGCAGTTACCACTCAAAGCGGTGCATCCTGGGAAACGGCAGAGGTTCAATCCTCGAGTAAAAAAACAAAATATAGAACTAATTTTACAGCAGAATATATACTAAAGTATATCCACGTCTAGTGCAGGGGAGGAACAGTGGCGGATCTAGACCAAATGTACCAGGGGGCCAGAGTGTTTTCATGGGGGCCCAGAAAAGCAAGAAATAAACAGGGCAAGAGATTCAAATATATTAAGAGAGCTGCATGAAGAGAAAGTTCTTTTCAATGAGGTTCAATAAAAATTCTATTTCTTATGAGGGCAATATACATTTATAATTTAGGGATTTTAAATATTTTTGACTTAATTTAAGTTAAAACTAGTTTTCTATAAATTTGAATTAGAACTCAAGAAGAACTGTTAAATTCATCTGTAAAAATTAGGGCATTTTTTTATTTGTTGTGGGAAAAAAAAATTATCAGATGAAAACTGTCTTCATTACAGGGGCCATAACAGGGACCAGGACATGATCTACAGGGGCACTGGCCTCCCTTGGCCCCTGTCTAGTACCGGCCATGGTGAGGAATGATGACAACGTGGCGAGGTGCACTGTATACGGCAGTCCCATGAAAAACAGAAAGCATACCAAAGTGTCTTAACAAGTGACCTTTCAGACACCTAGGCGGGTATGGGGCATTGCAAGCTCCTGATGTTTTTAATTGAAAAAGCTTCAACAAATTGTCAGCAAGCTAAATATTTATTTTCAAAACTAAATATTTAGTTTCTTAAATAAATAGTTAGCTCCAAACTAAATGTTTATTTACCAAACTTAATATTTAATTGGAAAATAAGT